TTCGCCCTCGTTCAGTGGAGGCGGGTGAACCAGCTTTTCCTTTCTCAAATATCGGCAGGTGATGCGCATCGGCATCGGCGCCTTTCGCGGTGGAACGATTATCCGGACGCCCGAATGTCGGCAGCCTCTCATTGCACCACCCCTCGCATCGACAATAAACGAGACCAAGAAACTAAATCAAACATATAAGCATTTCAAGTTCTTCTGTGAAACCATAATACTCCAAAATATATAAACGCAAAAAAAACAATTCAAAACAGACCGTTGATCGTTTGGTAATATGCATAATTTATTTTAAGTACTGTAACTCATTTACGTGACTTCAATACAGCGCCTACATGACACCCAAATACTGATCTATTTTTTGTATCAATACAGCCTGCCAACAAACAGATTTGAGTTTCAACGCAAACATAGTTAGTACCGCAGTTCATCGCTGGTCTATTCGTTAATCTCTCAAAGATAGGACTCTCACAAGCCCCGAAGAACAGAAACGCAAACAGTACATTAATATTAACTGCGGGCATCTTTTATTTTCGATAAAAGCAGTGAGCTGTGCATAAGGAAATATACCATCATTCCTTTTTCTCTTTATCCTCTGCCTCCTTACTCTACCACCAGGACGGATCAGAACTTCTGCTTCTGCCTGTAATGGACCTGGTAAAATTTTTGGGCCACGAGAAGCCTGAACATCCTCTATATCGAAACAGTACTAGCCGCTAGAAAACGGTCGCTCTGAAGAGGCACATCAAGACAGTCGATGATAAAGTGACATCTTTCGCAAATCCTTCGTAACCGACGCGAATCAACACGCACGGTTGGTAGAAGCAAAGGTGCATCGGTTAAAAACAACTAATGCTTCTATTCTGTTATCGTTATATTAAAGATATTCTTTACAAATCACTTTATGATTTGTTTTTCTATTTTAGGTCCAAGCATATGACAAAGAGGGCAAATGAGATCCCCCTCTCTCCACCGCGAATGTAACTCACCAAGTAAGAGAAAGGTGAACCCAGCATCGAAGACCTACGTGGCCAAGGAGAAGTCGATGACGCAAAACAGTTGGAGTCCGTCTTCTTAACAGCATGTTAACAGCGACTTTTCAAGATATCAGCGCAAGCCCTGATTTGTCAGATTTTGTCTTGGACAATGAAGTGCCTAATTTGCATCGATGCACTGCCAGTCTTGAAATACAACAGAGGAAATGCTCTGATTACGTGATTCCAGAGATTAGGGAGCTAAATGTGGTGCCACGCTTTCCTGTGTTATGACCTGAAGCCGTCTTTCGCTTGATAGCATATTCTGGCATACAAATATGCGTTGCATATAATGCGAAAGCACAAAAATTATCACGTCTTTGGGCATCGATGCTGGAGGGCATAGTATTAACGATGGATGATGCGCATATCAGGTGGAAGGCATGAAATTGCTAGATTAAGAAATCAGCCGAAGATGGAAGACGTCGTCATGGGCAATGAAGCAATCCCCCGGCCAGCCTAATAGACCTTGGAAACAAAAATGCGGTGCCATGTTAGCGCTGAACCCAGTTTCTAGGGGGTTATGCATATTCAATGCTAAAAAGAATAATTAGCTAGTCCCAATCTAAGGGTAGCCCCAGAATCTATGACTAAGAATCCTCTGCACAGACCGGAAAAGGTAGAATGTTTTCATCATCTAATCGATGACGCGTAGTTCAGCTAAAAACGAAGGCTATAAAAAATAAAAACCAAAAGGTAAAAACCAAAAAACAAATAAAAAGAAGTTTACGACAGAATAATTAATCATTTTTACCTTTTCCAAGTTCCCAGTTTCCTGCACGCGTGAATAAAAAAACAAAAGTTAATTTAGGGCAACAAATGTAGTAGGTGCATTAAGAAAACTTTATGCATCAAACAATGGCATATCGAGGAAAAGTAGCTATACTGATTTGCATAGAAACGATCGAGCGTCATAGATAAAACCTATACGACTACGAAAGCTTCGATTAACCATAATGAAAAACCACAGCGCGGTAGCCAAATACATGGTTCAATTCTTGATAGGAGGCGGGGCACTCTTATTACTCACTATCACGTGTAAAAGGATCACAAGAATCAAATGCTGCTTTCATTTTTCACGTAACTACCGACACAGACCGGTCGAAAACGTTGCAGAGTAGGTAAGCTGAAAGAACACTGTATCTTCATATGGTCAGACTCAAATAACTGCTTTCGGTACCTTCTACTGATCACTGCTGCATCTATTTGCTTTGTTTATGTTCTACTTCTATTTCTTACCATATATGGTACTGACGTGGCAAAGGAACGAAAGTTTGTGAGCACTGGAATGTCGGACGTCTTTCTGACATCATCATGATTAG